TATTTTTGTTTGAACATATTTTTATTTAATTGTTAATATTGTTGGGTATGTATTTTATAATTATTGTTTTAATTATTAATATTAAATTTATTATTTTATGTATTTTATAATTATTGTTTTAATTATTAATATTAAATTTATTATTATTATTATTATTATCATTATTATTATTATTTTTTTATCTATTTTTTATTTATTATTTTAAATGAAGTATATCTAATGAAAATCTATTTAGTTTATATTTTATTTTTAACAAGTTAATGTATTTAAACTTTAATTTATGTTTATATTTATACTTTCATAAGTTTTTATTTGTTTTTATTTATTTGATGATAATGATTTTTTTATAGATTAATAAATTTATTCGTCATATTTCTTTTATTATATATTTTAACTTTTTTTCGTCTTATTTACTATAGATGTATTTACTGTTGTTCTGTATTATTGTATATTATTCTGATTTTTAAAATAAAATGTTTTTGGTTTTTACAAATAAGGAATACATTATTTACGTTCACTTTAAATTTTCTTCTTATTTTTTACATCTATATTAGGCTGACTTTATTCAGTGTTTAATTACTATAATGTATTACTTTTCATTTTTATATATATTGCTTATATATATTTTAATATATTTCAATTTCTTCTTTTTTAAATAATAAGCTCTTTTTTATTTATATTTTAATTAAATTTAATTTTTATAAAAAAACAGTAAAAAATAAGTAAATAAAATAATAATACATTTTATTTATTTTATTTTTAAATTTTTTATTTATCAATATATTATATAAATAAATATTTCAAATATTTTATAGTCTATTTTTTTTAATAAAATATCAAAAATATTTAATTTTTTTAAATTATTTAAATAAATTAGTTTTTTTTTATTTTTAAACAAATAATACAATATGAATTATTTTTATAATACTTTTTAACAATTTTAAAATTCAATTCAAAATTATTTTAAAATAATTAAAACAACTATATTCTATATTTGTAATATAAATATATATATTATTTTAATCATTGTGACTAATATTGTTTTATATTTATTTATAAAATTAAATATATATATATATATATATAATTACAAGAGTTAAAAATAATTTATTATTTTTATTTTTTAAATTGTTTTTATTTAATATTTTTATATTTTATTATATATATTTTTTATAAAATACAATAATTAATACAATTATTATATTCGGATAAAATATGACTGACATACAATTTAAAAAAATAAGTCATAAAGATTGGTTAGGTTCTTTTAGTGAAAGTGAAGATGATTAAAAGAAAATAAATTTTTAAAAATTACCTTTAAATTAATAAAAAATAATTCATTCAAAAAATCAATAATTAAATATAAATTAAAATTCTTATTTTAAAAAAGATTGACTTTTAAACAAAAATTGTTATTAAAATAATAAAAAAAATAAGAAGAAAAAGACAAAAAACACGAAATTAATTAAAAAAGAGGTTTTCGTAAAGAATCATCTATTTTCGATACTAAAAAAGGTTAGGTTTTATTCGAATTATAGAAAACTTATAAAGGAGATGAAAGATTCATATTAGATAAAAGATTTGAGGAAGATATTGAAGTAGACAAATTACCAAATAATGTAAAAATACTCACTACGGGTATTGATTTTGAAAACTTATCAGACTAAAGTGATATGGAATTTAAAAATATCCAAAAAAAATAATAAAAGAAACAAAATTAATAAAAAGTTAAATTTAATGAAAATTAAAAAATAAATTAAATTGAAATTAATCAAAACAATTTAAAAAATTAAGAAAATAATTATTCTTAAGAAAAAAATATAGAGAATTAATAATTAACTGAAAATGAGGATTATTATATAAATGTTGAAGCAGATAAGTTAAATTAAGATATAGATTTAGAAAAGGAACTTTAAAATTACTTAAAAATCCTTTAAGAATTAATGCCTGATATGAAACTTTTTTTATAAAACAAAAAAAGAATGTATAAATAATTAAAAATAAAAGTGTTTTATATAAAAGTATAGATACAATTAATAATAATAATTTAGGAAAAAAAAGATGTAGAAAAATAAAATGATTTACAAAATAAGAATATTAGTAATAATATTAAATCATTTAATTTAATTATTCCTAGATTTGATCCTAATTAAGCAGGTGTTAAAGCTTTAATTGATTAAAACGAAAAAGATAAATAAGAGTAGAAAACATAAAAAAATAAATAAAAAACAGAGATATAAGATAAAGAAGAAAGTAAAATAATTTCAGGAATAGATAAGAAATACATGAAAATTTTAAAAGCTAATTCTATATTAAATAAAAATTTAAATAAAGAAAAAAAGTAGAAATTATTAAAGAACATAAAAAACCTGTTTTAAAAAAATTAAAATTGATTGTAATAAATGGAAAGAAATACTTAATAATAATAATAATAATAATAATAATAATAATAATATTAATAATAATATACACAATAATGATATTAATAAATAAAATATTAAAAATAAAAATGAATAAAAATAATTTTTTGATTTATAAGTAAAAAAAAACTATTTACCTAAATTTCAAATTAATTTTGGATATAATTAATAAAGAGAATAATTTAAATTATTTTAATGATTCAATATTTTATTAATTATTTATTAATTTATTTTATATATTAAATATTATATATTATATATTATTTATATATTATATATTATATATACAATATATAATTTTAATAAATAAATTAATTTAAATTAATAAGAAAAATCATAAATATAACTTATTTTAAAACTTTAAATTATTCTAAATAGTATTTTTATTCAAAGAATTATACGAATATGAATATGTTAAAATATTTTTAGAACTACTCAAAGCAAACATTTTTTTTCATTTAAATTCTTACAAATTTTATTTTAAAGAATTTATAATTCTTTCAAACTTCTAAAAGTATTAATATTTTTTTTATTAAAATTTAAATTTTATTATTAATTTTAATAAACATTATTATTAATCTAAAAATTTAATTATTTACTGTCTAAATTATAAGAAGGTTTATTTTCTTCTAAGTGTTTAAATTTTTACCATTCTTTATTAGTTTAAATTGAATATCCTCTTTTAAATCCATTATTATTATTTTTATAAATATTATTATTTTTATTATTAACACTATTATTATAATTATTATTATTATTATTATTATTATTATTATTATTATTATTATTATTATTATTATTATAAGAAGGTTAAATAATTATATTGCTTTATAAAAAAGAACTTTATTTAAAATAGCAATCAAATTTTTATAAAAATTTATCTTTTATAATTTCTACAATTTAATAATTAAAAAAATTGCAAATTTAGAAAATTTCTTCTCTATCGAAAATTTATATATTATTTTTTTGTCTTAAGTATATTATACATGCACATGCTAATTCATCTAATTAATAATCATAATAGCTTATGTCTTTTATTATCAAAAAAGCTAATTTGAATATATCTTTTTCTATTTTTTCTATTATTTCCCATTATTTTGTAGTTTATTTGTTTATATTTTCATCATTTATGTTTTTATCGTTATCGAAAATAATACCTTAGCTAAGAGTATATTCCAAGAAGTCGTATAAATTTTCCATTTAGAGTTAAAAATTAAATATTTTTAATACTCTTTCTTCTGCCTTTTTAATTTCAGTAGAGCTTACATTTATTATTCTTTTTAAAGCTGAAACAAAAGGTATTCTATCGTCTATTTCAATACTTTTTGCAGCTACAAGTAAACTTATTAATGCATATAGTTACAAATTTTAAATTATTTAGAAATAATCTTACTGTATTAAATAGTCTAAAAATACAATACTTAAATAAATAGTTTTGTTTGATATTTTTAGCTTTTCCCCTTAGATTTAAATAAAATTTATTATTGTTTCACGATTCTTTAATTTAAATAATTATTTTAATAAATAATTTATAAATTAGTAATAACAATAAATAAGGAATGGAAAATAATATAAATTTATATATATATATATATATATATATATATATATATATTTTATATATTTTATATATTTTATATATTTTATATATATTTTACAGTTAAATATTCTGGGTATTGTTTAATATTTATTATTAGATTATTTTTAAATGTATTTTTTAAATATGTTTTTGTTGAAACTGTAGAAATATAATTCATTTATTAAGATTTTAATGCTTTTGTATTCTTTTTTTTTTTAATTAGTTTTTAGTTTTTTTTATTTACTTTATATAATTTTATTCCACATTTTTTACAGTTTATGTTTTTATCAGAATCGGAGTGTTAGCAATTTAATATATATAAACTTTAATTATTTGTATTATATTGTTAACTTTAGTATTATTTTTGAAAAAAAAGATCTTTATTCATCTTTAAATGTTTATTAATATAATTTTGTTAATTTTTTGTTTTTTTAATACTTATTTTGAAAACATAAAAAAATAGATGTTATTTAAATTTTATATATATAAATATAAATATATATATATATATATATATATTTATATACATATTAATTTATACATTAGAAATTATATTTTTTAGTTTATCTCTGTTAAATATTTTTTAATTATTAAAAAAATAAAAAAAAAACTTTTTTTTTAATAATATGTTTATTATTTTTATTTTTTATTTTCATCTTTATTTTTCTACTTAATTTTTCATTTTATAAAAAGCTGTATTAATTAAAAAACTTAAATTTTAAATATCAATAGCATATTATGGACTATTTAAATATTCTCTAAAATAAATTTCTTTATTTTCTTAATTTTCTCTTAATTTAGCTACAAATTTTCTTGTCTAATATGCTAATTAATTATCATTTTCGCAAACAAAAAGCATATTTTCAAAAGCCAATTGTGTCCAATCTCCTTAATAAACTGAATAATCTTTAACTAAATAATATAAGTCTTTATCTTTTTAAATATCTCCGAAAATATTAATTGTTTATTGATTATAATTGTTATGTAAATATTCAAGGACATCAAATAAACCATTCTTTTTTTTTTATTTTTTTAACATATTTAATTTATATTTATATATTACTTAAATAACAGAGCATTAAATTAAATTCGGCTCGTTTAAAACTGCATTAAATAAAGTCAAACCACTTATAGGAGTTTTTGAATATCCGCAAATTTTTTTCGATATATCATTTTCTTGTATAAATTTGGCAATATCTATTAAGTCGCAAAAATTTGTTAATCTTTTTATTTAAACTCCTTCTAAAAACCATTCTTTATTTATATCATATGTACCTTAAATTATATTTAAATATATATAAAAAGACGGAAAATAAATACCTCTCATATGTGGATAGCATATAATAGCTCCTCTATCAAAAGCACTAATAAATACAGGATTTAATTCTATATATTAAAATTATAAATATTTTATATAAAAAAGTAAATTTAAATATATAAAAGAATATAATAATTAATTAAAAAACAACATATCATGTAAAAAAAAATATATATATTACCATATTGTGTTCTTTCTTCTAAATTGCTGTTTAAATATAATATACAGGGGCTGTTAGAATTTACAAATTATTTATTATATACTAATGTAAATGGAATATTTATACCATCTCTTGAAATTGCTTCAAGACTTTTTAAATAATAATAATAATATTTAATATAATAAATAAATATATATTATACTTTTCCATAACATAGTTCTCTTAGTTAAATTTATTATATTTTATTTCATAGAAAGTTTAATTAATTCTTTGTTACATATTATAGCTCAAAAAATTATTAGGTTTATAAGGACACTATAAATAATATATAATATATATATATATATATATATATATATATATTTATATATATATTTATATATTATATAAATAGGTTTTTCTACTTTAATTGTATAAAAAAATATATCAGATTCGTAAAATTAATTAGTTTCTAAAACTAAATCATATATTTATTCTTATATATAATAATTATGGAATTAATTTGTTTTAAAATTATATATTTTAAAATAATCTTTTTATTGGTTAATTTAAGAAATTTAAACGACTATATAGTTTTTAAAAACTTCAAATGATTTAATATACTCTTCTTTAAGTTCATCTAATTATAAGAATATTTATTATTCTCCTAATTCTATTTATTATTCAGTGTTTTCTATTTGCAATTTATTTATTTCGGTTTTTTAAATTTCTAATGCTTCTTTGTATATTTTATCAAGGTTTATTATTTTATTTTATTCTTTATTTACTTATTCTAAATATTTAATTTATTATTTGTTTCCTTTTATATATTTATATTTATAAATTTTTGTCGGGTATTTATCTTTATTTATTTAAGTAAAAAATATATGTTATTCTCCCATTTTTAAAATTGTTTTTGTTTTTTATTTTCTTTCCTTTTATTTGTTTTTATATTTTTTTTATAAAAATTAAATATAATACAGTTATTTATCTAAATTCAGCATTTTTTAAATAAGTTTCTTTAAAATATAATTAATTTTATTCATTTCCTGAAATGAGACTAGAATCAAGTAAAATTATGTCCTTATTTAAAATACTTTATACTATTTAAATAAATAAAAAAAGTATAAAAATATAAATTTTTTTAAAAAAAATAAAAAATATATATAAATATATATAGATATAAATATATATATATATATTTATATATACAATTATACATATATATATTTATATATATTTATTTAATATTTATATTTATACTCTATAATTAAAAATTAGGATTTTTTTCATCCAAAATTTTTATTGGCTAAATAATAGAAATATTCTTATCTTCTAAGTTTAAATATGATAATGTACTATATCTTTTTAAATCATTTTTTTAAACAAAATAAATATTATCAAAATCATCAAAAGCCAATTAATAATGTATGTTACTAATAATTCGTTATATAAGTTAATTTTTTTTCAAATCTTTAACAATACAAATATATTCTTCGTTATTATTATATATATCAAAAACAAAAGCTATTTTATCATGGTTTTTATTGAATATAATATTTTTATAATAAACAGTTTATAACTCTAATTCATCGGCTAAATATTCTATTCTTTTATCGAATTCAATGTAGTTTTCAAGAAAATTTATTATCTCTTATTTAGTCAAAACACTTAAAATTTCTTCCTTTTATAAATCTTTAATAGAAAGTGGTTTATTTAAAAAATTTTCATTTGAAACTCTAAAAATATTCAATACATTATCCAAATCTTAATTATAGTAAATAAATCTATATTTAAAATACTTTTTAAATTAAATATAAATATATAAATATATAAATTATATAAATATATTTATATATTTAGATATATATATATATATAATTAAATAAATATACTTCTTAGTATAAAAAGGTATAATATTTTGAATCTATGTCCTATTTTTTAATTCTTAAAGCATTTATTCTTCCATTAAACCAACTTTAAATAAGGACATATCAGTATAAACACTTTCAATTTAAGTAAAATATTCAATTCTTTTTTAATTCATTTCATTTTCAAAAACATCCTATTTTTAATCTTCTACAGATGAAAATTCACTTGATTTTATTTTTAAATAATCATAATAATCAATAAATTATTCATATTTATTTTTAAAAATAGATTAGTATTTATCATGTATAGGCAATACCCTTGTTTCTAATAATTATATACTAAATTGTGTAAAATTTCTTATATTTTAAACAGGAATTTTCTTCTAAGGGTCTGGTGTTAGAAGTCTTTCTAATGCTGTTTATCTATTTTATCTAATAAATTTTCTTTTCACAATTTTAGTTTCCATGACATGCTCGCTATCTAGTCTTTCTTCATATGGGAGAATTTCATGGAAATGGGTTTTTGTACCCAGTACTTTATCTATATTTTATAATCTTTATTTTTCCAAATCAGATATTTCTTTATTATCTTCCAAAAAAATTTAAATGTCTTCATTTACATTTAATGTTATTCTATCACGAGGATTATATTCAGTTAGATCTTTTGGTCTTTCGTCTAATTCGGTGTCTAAAAGTAAACTTAAGAATACATTTTGCTGTTTTTATTAGGGGGAAAATGGGTTTATTTATTAGACTTTATTTTCATGGTTTTTATTTAGGAAACGGCTTATAATTGACTTGTACTCTATTTTTCGTAAATGTTGGTTTATTAGTTGATTTTTTAAAAATTTTTACATGTTTTTTAAAAAAGATATTTTATTTTTATTAATTATAATATTGTATAAAAATAAAATATATAAAAAAAAGTAGATTTAATAAAATTATAAAAAAAAATTAATATATATATATATAAATATAAATATATATATATATATATATATATATATATATATATTGTTATTTTTTAAGTTATATGTAATATTTTTTAATACTTTTATTTCTTTTTTTTTTAAGTAAAATTATAAAAAATGAAAATTAAAAATGCACACAATAAAAATAAATAATTTTTATTTTAATAATTATATATAAATCAATTATCTTTAGATGCGTTTTTATCTTCATCTTCTATACGTAAATATTCACCAACATCACTCTAATTAAAAACAACAACACCAGTAGGATCCATATCTTTAGCTTAAAGTGTATTTTTTGCAGAAACACCAAATCCTAGAGGCATATCATTCATAGAAAGAACTATAACACCTGCATATTAAACTATATTTTCAGTCATTCTACCTACATGCGCTTTAATGACATGATTTCCATATACATATGCTTATTCACCTTAAGGCTTTAACCATACTTTATTTTTTGCAAATTTGACTAAATAATCTAAACATGTAATACTTAATCTGAACTTTCCTCCTTTAGTAAATTTACCAAAGCATGTTCCAACACTTTTTTTTTATTTAAGATAATATTATATATAAAGATAAATATATGTAATATAAAATACTGCATTAGTTATTCACGAGTTATATTTTAACATGCTTTCATTAAAGTTTCACTCATATAATATACACGGTCTTTTATTAAACGAAATACATGTGGTTCATCTGTTCGGTCGATTAAAAATTTAATATTTTAACCAATATACTCGGAGAGTTTTGAAAAAAAGACTTTGGTTTCTTCATCTGTTAAAATTCTCATTTTTTTATGTTTTTATATTTTTAATAATATTTAGTTTTAACTCTTTTTTTTTAATTTATAAAGTGTTTAAAAATATTTAATAATATGTATATATATATATATATATATGTATATGAAAATAAATTATTATTATATATAATTAAATATATTAGTAATCTTATTTTTTTATATTTTCATGATTTAAGTATATTTAAATAACTTTATTTCCATATTATTTTTTATTTTACAAAAGAAGCAAATTTACTTTGTTTATTTTCGCTTTTTAAATCTATAAATAAAGAAGAATCAATATCACTTTAAATACTTTAAGTTTAAATATAGGATTCATTGTTATTAATAATAATATTATTATTATTATTACTATTATTATTATCATTATTATTATCTTAATTATTACTATTATTATTTTTATTATTAATAATAATATTAATATTATCATTTTAATTTTTATTATTATCATCAATATTATCATTTTTTTCATTTTTATTATTATTATCATTATTGTCATCTAAAATTTTTAATTTTAATTCCAGTTAACTTATTTTATTTAAAAGCTCATCATTTTCTTTAATTTTATTTATTTTAAAAATCTACTAATCTTCTATTTCTTAATATAAAATAGATATTCTTTCTTCTAAACTTTCTAAATATTCAATTTCTAATTTCATATCAATATTTTCTTGTACAATCTATTTATTTTCCTACTCTAATTTTGTTATTTTTTAATCATTTTCTTATATTTAATTTAGTAGATTCATTTTATTTTCTATTAATATCTGATTTTCATTTTCTAATTAAGTTAACTTCTAATTTATTTGTTTTATTTAATCTTCTAGTTAAATAATTTTTAATATATTCTAATTATTTTCTTTTAAAACACTAGTGTTCTCCTCTATATATTTTTATTAATTTTATTCTTATTCTTCTTATTTTTTTTTTATCTATTTTAATTATTCAATCATTTCTTATAATGATACATTATTGTTATCTATAATCTATAATACTTATATTAATATTATAAAAAAAAAATATAAATTTACTTCATTTTTTCTATTAATCTCTTATTAATATTATTAAATTTCTTCATTTAAGCAATTAATTTATACATTTGAGGATTTATTTTATTTTTATAGTACTTAAATAGCTGATTTTAAATTATTATTTTCCTTTTCAAAATTAATATTTTAATATTTCATATTAAAATTATCCTTTTAGATCAATTAATTTTAATTGTTTAATTATAATATATTATTTTACAAATTAATATTTTCTTCTTCTAAAATAATATTTTGTTTATGCATGCTTTCCATTTCTTTTAATATTTCATCTATTTGATAATTTAGTTATTCTATTTTTTAAGTGTCTTCTTAATAAACTATTTTTTCTTATTAATTTTTATTTCTAACTTTTTCTAATTAATCACTAAAGTATTTGTTTTGGTCAATTAATATTTTTATTTATTTATGTAATTGTTCAATTTCTTCCTTTTCTTGTGTATTTAAGAGACTATTACTTGATGGGATAACTAATGTATTTCTTATATTTGCGTTTCGGGGTGAATATTATTAAAATGTGTGTTATATTATTTTAATTGATTAATTATGTTTATCCATTAAATTATTTTATGTTAAAAATTTATTTATTTTTATTAAAAAATAGTCAAGTATATATAAATTTTATTTATAAAAAAATAAAAAAAATATAATAATATTTTATATATATATATATATATATATATATATATATATATATATTATAAAAATAAAGAATGTTTATTGGACAAAAATTAATTAAAAAGTAATTTTAAATTTTTTTTTTTCAATATTTTTAATTAAATCTTTATTTTAATTTTTTAAAGTAATTAGTGTATAAATTTTAATACATATATTTACCCTAACTATTAGTAAGTAAACTAGAGTAATTTATTTCATAAAAAACTTCCACTTTTAAATATTTCTTATATTTTGTAATAAGAGAACCTCCAAAAATTTCCCCTCTAACAATTTTAGTTTATTCTTTTAAATTTTATTCTATTTCTAGTAAATTAATCGAAATATCAATTTCACAAATTTTCTCATTTTAACTATCTGTAGATTTTAAAAAACAAAAATGTTTCAAAAATAAAAATTCGCAAGGTTTATTTAATTATATGGAATCACAATAAGTTTATAAAATAGTGTTTTAAAAGTCTTCGTTTATACAAACAATTTTATTAAATCCATTTAAAATTTACTACATTTCATTACTGTTTTTAAAATTAATAAACTCACCAATATCAGTTGTATTTATTATATATTCCCCATTTATAATAATTAATCTATTATCATCTATATTCAATTCACTTCTATAATATATATTAGATTCATCTGAAGATATTATTTATTCAAAAAGGTCTTTATTTTCTAAACTTTCCTATTATAAACTTATCATGAAATCCTAATAGGTTTCTTATTTAATAATTTCTAATTAATATAGAATCTCACTATTAAAATTTGGTTAGATTGAATTTTTAGGCAATTAATTAATCCATTTTGTTAATATATCGGGTTCTTATATAAGTTTTTTATCAACTAAATTATTTTAATTGGTAATAGAAATCTCATAATATTCACAATCGAAAAATTGTGTATTTTTACGTTTATGATGGTTTATTTATTAAGTATCTTATATAAATTCATTACTGGGAATTATTTTTATTTAAGTTTCTGATAATTCATTAAATGAATGAAAAATGGAATCATTTTGAAATTATTATGGAGAATCACTAAAAGATTATTTAAAATACTTTTACATAGGAGAGAAACTTTATTATATTTACCTATCTTCTTTTTTTTCTGATATTTATTTTTTTAAATCAGTAATTTTTACTTATTAATGGATTTTTCTATTGTTTATTTCTAATATAGATTCATGTGAAATTCTTTTAAAATTATTTAAATTGATTTAAAAAAGATTATCACAGGAAGAATAGGATATCTTTTTAGGGATAATACTAATTGTAAAGTTTTAAAAATCAGGTCTTAATTGAATTTTTTAAGCTTTTGATTATTCTTAATCGTATTATGTTGAAAAAGATAAGGAAAAACGAGACGAAAATAAATTTAATTGAGAATTCTTTTCTTTTTGAGAATATGGCGATGTAATAGTATCATTAATTTAAAATATTTGATTATTTTTTATATATATTTATTAATTAAAAAGGTCTTCTTTTTGAATTTTTAAAGTGTTTCTAGTACTATTGCTTAATTGTAATTATTAATTTGAATTATTATTACTTTGTAAATCTGTAGTATTTGAATGAGTTATTTTTTGATCTTTTTCGGTTTAAAGCTTACTTTATATTTTTTATTCAATTAATTAGTCTTTATATATTTCTTTTAAAGCTATTTTTTATAGGTTTTCGTCAAAATTAGTAGCTATTTTATTTTAATCAATATTTTTTTCAGGTTTTTCTAGAAAATTTAGAGACTTTCTAGAACTTTTTCGGCTTATATTAGATTTCAAGATAGATGATTGGACTGTATTTTGTTCTTGAATTGGTTTATTATCTTTCATACAAAATAAAAAATTTAATATTTTGTTAAAATAATTCATGTTTAAGATTTTTTTTTTTTTTCGATAATATTTTAATACTTGTGTTTAATTTGTTGATTAAATAGATTTTTTTTTTATTTTATTTTTTTTAGTTCTTTTTATAGTTTTATTATAATAATTATATATATAAAATAGAAAAATATATATTTATTTATTTTTAAAAAATAAAAAAATGAAAAATTGTATATATAAATAAAAAAAAAACAACAATATTTAAAAGGGGAAAAAAATAAAAATAAAATTACTAATTGTTGATATTTGATAAAAATAAAAATAATTAATTGTATATATATATATGTATTAATATATATATATAATATTAAATATAATAAATAAATAATCAAGCTATAACTATAGATACACAATCTAAACCATTTTTATCTCCATTTGAATTCATATCAAGTTCTTTAATTTAGAAATAATTAAGATTTTTTTCTGAATCCAAAAACAAAATATTATCACATCCGAAATTCCATGCTTTTTAAAAACTAGCGAAATACTACAATTCGATATTTTAACAATTATCAATATTAAATACATATGAATTTTTATACATATTATTATGGTTTACAATCACGAAATTCGAAAGTCCTTCAATTTATTTAATTTGGGCATTTATTTAGAATATTTGATATTTTCTATATATTAGATTAGTTGGAATATCTATAACAGACTATTCTATATCTAAATCATTATTATTTACAATAATTTGCCTTTTGTTAATTTATTCTATTTAAACCTGAGAATCTGAATAATTAGGTAAGTTTCTTATTAGAATTTCTGTTTCGTAATTTTCAAGATTTAAAGAAACTAATTCATTTCCGTCCACTATGAACATTATTTCTTTAAATTTATCAGCCTCACTGTAAAAATTATTGTAATAAAGCAGAATATTATTATTGAACCCTTAGTTTAAATTATTTAGTTTATATATTTTTAATTTTGTATCCTCTAAAATTAGTTCAGGTTATGATAAGTCTATTTTGGTAAACTCTAGTTGATTTTGGCTTCTGTTGAAATTATATTACAAACATTTGGCCTCTGTAAGATGGAAAGTATATTAATATCGAGAATCTAAGATAAATACTTTTACTTATTTTAGTTAAGGAAAAGATATGAAAATTAATGAATTTTTTGTTTTTATTAATAATTGCTTAGTATTTTAGTAAAAAGTGATAAAAGTGAAATCTTCTTATATTTCTATAAAATTTATGAAGTCTATAAGTTGCCCGTTTTATATTATTTCGTCTTTTTCTTTAATAATTTTAGGTTTTTAGACTACTATTTGATTTGATTCGGAAATAATATTTTCGTGACTTACTATTATTTATGCATTGCTTGTTTATTGGATTTTACAATTCTATTTTTTTAAATATAAATTTATTTATATAGTTTATTTATATTTTGATTTAATAAAATTTACATTATTTTAATTGTTTTAATCTTAAAGTTAAATATAGTTAATATCTTTTATGTTTAATTATTTTCCTTTAATTTGTATTTTTTACATTTATTAAATATCTAAGCAAATGTGTTATATTAATTTGCCCTTTTTTATAAGAAAATTTTTATGTGGACTATTATTATTTTAGTCTTGTTCATTTTATAAAGAAATACAGTCGTCTATATTTTGCAAAATGTTAGTAAATTTATATGGGCTTAATTTATAGTTAATTAATAAAATTATTAATAAAGCAAAGTGAAAAGTGGAATTAATTAAAACTGAAAAATAGAAATCTTAAAAAATCATATCTAGTTAGGAAAGAAAGACATTTAGCAAATAAAAAGAAACCATTATTAATAGATCATATTTGTAAGAAAATTTATTTGTAAATAATCCGTAATAATATACACTAAAGTAAAAAGATAATTCTATCAAAAGTACTTAGAAAAAATAATGCATTTATTAGTTAAAATACAAAATTAAGGTTATTATTAAGAAATTTATTAATAAAAAATATATATTGTTATTTAACTTATTAGAATTTAAATTGCTTACTATTCTATCTAAAGATAAGTATGAATAAGACCAATACTTTGCTATTGCTTTTAATGAGCAAAAATGCCTATTTGTGCATATATTGGATAAAATTGAAACGAGGAAGGTCATAAAAAACATTTTATTTATTTTATTTTATATTAAAATATATTAATTTATATTTTTTTTTTATATATTATTTTATATTTTTTTTTTTATTTTATTAAATCTAAAGACAAGTCAGTAAATATAAAATATATATTATAATTTGCTTTTTAAATAAATATAACATTAATAATCACTATATATCATAAATTATTTTAAATTTTATAATAATTTAAATATATTTAATTTAATAATCTAATTATATATATATATATATATATTATTTTTGTATTATATTATATTTTAATATAATTTTATATATAATTTTGTTTTCAATTACTTTTATTATTTTTATCTACTTGCTCATAATTATTTTATTTTTTACTGATTTTTTATGTATTTTGTATTTATTAATTAACTTATCCTAATGTATTATTCCTTTAATAAGCTTATTAAAATAACCTTGAAGGATCAATGTATTTATTACTATAAATTTTTTTTTATATTAATTATAAAATTTCAAATCTTTTTCTTTTTTTTTAACATTCCTCATTATTTCCATCAATCATACTTTTAAATTCTAATTCTTTCCTTTGAAGTTCATTTCTCATTATTCTTAAACTATGTTTTATTGATTAATTATTCTAAATTTAAAAAAAAATAAAATAAGAAAAAATGTTCATAAATATTATAATATATTTAAAATAAACTAATGTACTTTTTTTAATCTTTATTTTTGCATTTTTTAAATAATTATATCGGATTAATTAGAATGCATTCTATTATATCTAGTAAGGACTTATTTTAAATACATTTAAATAATTTAATCATATTCTTAATTATTTTAAGAATTATCATATTCTTTTAATATTTTATTTTATTCATTTAATGATTATGGGGTTGATATATTTATATTTTATTATTATTTTTAATTATCTAATTTTTTTTTTTATAATATTTAAATTTGTGCTTTTTAAAGTATATTTTTATAATTTTTTTAATTAATGTTTTTTTAAATTTCCTCTTTATCACTTTCATATGTTTCTTCGTTTAAATTTTATTAATATTATTAATTTTAACTTACTTATATTATATTATTAATAATATTTTTTTTTTTATTTTTTTTTTATTTTTAAGCACTTTCAAAAGCTCTTAGTTTATTCATTTTTTGTACACTATATGTAAGCATATCTTTTTTTATTTAAGCTATTCCTTTATTTCTTGATGTATTGAAATATTAATCTTCATTTTTTTTATTTATAAATGGTATCCTAGTTGATTGAACTTATTTTCTTATTAGATTTAAATCTTATAGAGTCATTTAGTTAAATACATTATACATAAATTTTTTCTGTTGTTATTTTTCATTATTTTTTTATTTTGGACTGTTATTATTTGAATTTTGTATAGAAAATGCTATTTTATTATTATTTTTATTATGAGAAAGGTTAGTTTCAAGTTCAGAATTTTTATTATTAATATTATTCCTTCCTTCTTTATTCATTTATAATTAAATTGAATATAAATATCTACTTTCTATAGTTTCCATTTTATTTCTTTTTTATTTATTTGTTATTTAATCATTAGATTGAAAACCTAGAAATTTTAAATAAGGATGGAGTATTTATTTAGTGTTTTTTTATTTATATTCTTATTTTTTTTTGAATAATTATCACTTTTTAATATTTATATTAATTTTATTTTGTCAGTTTTTATTGAAGCATCAATTACTTTTTTTGTTTTTACTAATTATTTTATGTCAGGTAATATTTGCCTACATAGAGTTTTTGTATCATTTAGTATATTATGAAATTTGGTAAGGTTTACTTATTTTTCAGTCATATTTTTTTCTTTTTTGTTTCTTAAAAATTGAATGTCTTCTAAAGTTTTAGTCTTTTTTAATTTTTAGTCCTCTTCTTAGATTATATTAAGTAATGTACCGTATTTACCTTCTGATTTTTCATATTTTTTTAGATTTTAGAATTCTGAAATTGTGAAAGATTTAGTGTCATAAATTCGAAATTAGTTATTTTTTTAATCTAGTTTATTTATATTTTTTTGTGTGTTTTTGATATTTTAGGCGAACTTTTCTAAATCATGTTAGTATTTTAATTGATTTTCTTGTATTTAGTCTATTTGGCTTTATTTAAAATGAAGATCTAATTTCTTTAAATCATTTTCTTATTTTGATTTATGGTAAAATTATTATAAATTGTCAATACTTTTAATTTTTTTGTTTTAAAGAACTATTTATTTGTATAAATGTTCTTTTTGGGTTTAATCTTCTTTAGGATTTTTTATTTTTGAACTTTTCAAAACGGCTAAGTCCCGGGTTTGAGTTAGTTAATAGGCTTCTTTTGATGTTAGGAAGGCATGAATTTATAATTATTCTCTCATTCCTTTTATGTATTTTTTTTTTTATTTTAAATTAACAAATAATTAATTATTTTTTTAAATATAATAGTTTTTTTTTAAAAAAAAAGCAAATAAATAAATTCTAAATTAATTATATTTTGTTTTTATAATAAAAAATAATATTAAAATAAAAAAAATGAATTAAAATAGTAATATAATTTATTTTTTTGTTTTAAAAAAATAAAAAAAAAGGTGAAGACTTTGTTCATTTTAGTTCTGAAGGAAAAAATGAAAATAATTAATTAATTTAATAATTAAAAAGTGAGAATTAAAGATTAAATTAAATAATATAATAATAAAAATAAAATATGGAAACTTTAAATTAAAGAGCTTAAGAATAATATGAAAAATTATTTGAATAATAAATAAGAATATAAGAGGAAAAAATAGAAAAGATAATTTAAGAAAATGAAAATGTAATTTAATTAAATGAAAAATTAACAATAAAAAACATTAATTTAGAAGAAAATTATAAGCAATTATAATTAAAGTATTTTTTTTTTTTTACTAAAAAAAAAATATGTTTAATATATGTTTTAATTTTTTTATTTGAAAAGATATTAAGAAAAAACTGAAGAAATAAGAGTTTTTTGGAAAGAACATTTCTAATAGCTTTAAAATGAATAAATTTAAAAATATTAAAATGAAATGAAAGATTTATTAGAATAAATAAATAAAAAAAATCTAATTAATTAAGAACTTTAAGAAAAAGTTAGAGTAATTTCTTTCTTTTTATTAAACAAAAATATAAAAACATTCATTTTATATATAAAAATAGAATTTAATGTAATAAAATTATGAAAAGAACTAACTTAATATTCAAATCGAAAGCAGCTTAAAATAATAATAAAAATTTGAATAATATAATTAAGTAAATTTGTTTTATTTTTTTTATTTAATTGATAAAAAAAAAAAAAAAGGAAAATTAGTAGATTATTGAAAAATTAAAAAGTTAAAGTCATGAAAAGGATAAACAAATAATAGAATTAAAAACTAATATATCTCTTTTATAAACTAAAGTTAATTAATTAGAATTCTCGTTGAAAAATCAAGATCAATTTAAATAGTCGAATATAGAAGAATTAAAAAATAATTAAGAATAAGAAAATAAAGATATTAATGAAGAATATGAACAAAGATTAATTTTTTAACAAAAAATAAACGACCAATATAGGCAATAAATAAGTGAAGAAAACTCTAATTTGAAAGAATGTGTTGTTTAATAATCAAATAAAATAGATTAACTTTAAATAAAAATTGATTAATTATAAGAGCAAAATATATAATTATAATAATTAATAACAATGACATAAGAATAAGAAAAAGAAATTAAAAATTATTAAAAAAGGAATACAGAACTAGAATAAAAAATAAATTAATTAATCGATAATAATAGTATACTTAATTTAAATTTAAATCAACGTATATAGGTAATATATATATATACGTATATATATATAATATATATTTAATTATATTTATATATATATATACTTAATAACTTTAAATATAATAGGATATTAATTTATAAAATTAAAAATATGAATAAGTTTAAAATGAAAGTAAAAGAGTTATTGAAAAATGTTAAAAATAAATAGATTTAGTAAATATTTAAAATGAAAATTAAATTAATTAATTAAATGATGAATTATAATCAAAAATAACTTATTTTTTAAATGAAAATAATATTTTAAAAGAATAATTAGGGGAATAGTTAGTTAATAAAGCTGAATATGAAAATAAAATTAGGAAAGGGTATCGACAAAAAATTGATATTTTAAGGAAGGAAAATGAAGAACTTATAAATCAATTGTAATAAATCTAAAATGTTTAGGCTAATTTAATTTAACATATTCAAGTACTTGAATATTAATAATAATAAAATGATATTTTTTTAGACTAAAAAATAAAAATACGACAAATTAATAGATTTCCGAAATTGACTAGATTTAATAACTTTAAGAATAAATTAGAAATTTATAAGAAGAAAATTAAAAATTAAATCAATAATAAATTTAAGATAAAAATAATTATTAAGAAACATTAAATAAACTTAATGCTTAATTAAATAATGAATAATCTACTATAAATTAATAATAAAAAAGCAAAAAAAATATTGAAAAATAAGGTTAATAAAATCATTAAGTAAAACAATTATATGAAGAATTAGAATATTTGAAAAAAAAAGAAAAAAATAGTCAAGAAATTGTAATTTTTTTGTTAATATTTAAATTTTTATATTAAATATATATATATATATATATAGCTTGAAATAACAAAAAAAGAAAATGAAAATTTAATATTAAAAATAAGAGAATTAGAAAAAAAATACTATTCTAGAAATGATTGGTTAATTAATAAATTTTAAGAAAACGTAAATTAAAATGTGAGTAAAGAAGAATAAGTAGAAGAGATATTGTAAAATGATAGTGGTTACAAAGATAGTTTTTCAGATAATAATTGATTTATTTTTTATATATATATATATTATTAATTTATATAGAAAAAAATAATTTAAATTTAAAATTTAATATTTAAATAATATTTATTATAAATGAATATATAATAAATATAAAAATATATTTTATATATATATATATATAATATATATAAATTATTATTTATATATAAAAATATATTATCTTTTATTTATTTATTAAATTTCATTAATATTTTTTATTTTTTTTTTGTTTTTATTTTTATTCTAGTTTTTTATTTATTTATATTAATTTTTACTCTTCTTTTAAAATATCTTTAATATCTAAAGTTAAAAAAGAGTTTTTATTCATTATTTAAATTTATTTTTATATATAGTCATTTTTTTAAATACTACTTGAACTTTCTAATTTTTAATAACTAATATTATATTTATAATTAGATGCATTTACTTTTTCATAACTTTGAACTGAATTTAATTATTATTATTATTAATTATTATCTTAATCTTAGTATTAATAAAATTAATCATCTTCAATGCAATCTAATTCTTTTTCATTGTCTGAAAATTGCAAATCTTCTTCCCATTAAGTATTTTCAAATTATTATTTGATATTTTAAGTAAAAGTATTATAGTTATTTATGGCTTATTGTAAATAATCAAGTTATTAATTAAATTTATTGATTTTATGCAACATGAAAATAATTTATTAATTATTATTTTATTTTTTTAAAATTTTAAATTTTTTTTCACTAAAAGTTTTCACATTTTTATTAACATTACTTTCATTTAAATTTCTCAAAGTATTTTCTTCTGTACACACTTAAATAATTTTTTCTTTTTATGATAATAATACATATTATTTATTTTTACTTTGGGATAATTCATTTATACTTTTTATAGAATTGTTTTCATTAATTTATGTCAAAAGATGGTCTTAAACAATTTATTATTTTTTAAATAATTTGTTTAAGTTAATAAATATTAATGAGTATATATTTAAACATAGATATATGAATACTAATGTCAATTGTAAGTATCCGATATTATATAAGTTTTCGTTTATTTTTTAAGGATTACTATATAAATATATATAATAAAGGTTTATTGTTAAAGTTAATAATAGGTATAGTTCTTATATAGAAACATAATAATTTAAGTATTTCTGTTTAAACGGACCTTCCATTTTGATAATAATTATACACATCCATATGAAATTTACTAATATTAAAAAAATTCCTTATAAAATAGTATATTTAAATTCAAAAGATATAAAAAAGCAAACTAATATTTTTCGCAAAATACTTAAAGAAGGATATGAGAGTATTATTTTTTGTTTGTGAGAGCTATTTCTTAATTCTTTAAATAATCTATTAAATATAGAAAAATTTTGTTCACTGATTTTTTAGGAGAAGAAATATAAATAAAGGGCAAATAAAGACAGGAAAATTATAATTGAAATTTAAAATAAGTTTATACTTTTTATATTTATATATAAGGTTTATTTTTATTTTTTTTACCTTAAATAATTGTATTAATCATTAAGTATTTTTATTAAAAATATAAAGTATATTGGTAAAAAATAGATTATTATTAGGTTTATGAATATTCTGTTTTTTATAGAATGTTAAATATAAAGTATTAGCTTAGAAAATTTACTAGTAATTTAATTATTATATTAAGATTTTTGATATTTATTTAAGAAAAAGTTAATTAAATAAATTATTGTAATTATACTTAAAAACAATATATCTAATTTTTTTGTTTTAAAAAATAATTATAAATTTTAAAAATTAAATTTAAAAAAATAAAATTATTTTACTGTTATTAATACCATTATTATCATTTAATAAACCTCTAAAATTTTAATGATTATTATCATCAATATGTTATATATAAAAATTATAAAACTTCATGTTTTTTAGTATATATTATATCGTGTTTGGAAGTGCAGATTTAGTATAAAGTTATAATTATATTATTTATTGTATTTCTATGTTTATTAAATATCCTTAAAAATCAGATACTGTTATCAAAAAAATATTCAATATATATTAAAATATGAATTAGTATTTAATTATGTAACAAAATATATCTTTTTTTTGGTTATAAAAAAAAAAATTATTTGATTTTTACATATATAGTTTGAATAAATATTATCAAAATCTTGATTATCGGGAGGTAGTATTGATAAATTAGTTGAAATACCTTATGAAAATAAATATTATTTGTAATTTTGCTAATTTATTAAGTCTGTATTGTTTAATTTTACTGTTAATTTTGGGTATGAAATATATTATTAGTCAATTTTTAATGTTATTTCTAAAGTTTTTTATGAAATTTAAACCATGTTATAGGTAAAGTTTATTTTTTATTATTATTCACTATCTAGAGCTAATAAGAATATTTTTTTTATGTTATCATTATTTTACTGAATATCTAAATTATTTTATAAAATAATATATATCTTTTTAGGATAAAATTCATTTAATTTTAATTAAAAATCATTTTGATCAAAGGTAAAATATTAATGAAGTAAAAGTATCAATATAATTGCAATTTTTATCATTTTTATATTATGGTTAATTTAAAAATTTTAATAACTATTATATAAAATTAATAAAAATATTATTTTTGTAATATTTATATTTTTTTTATTCTTTATATATAAAATAAATTAAATTATATATATTTATAAATATAAATGTATATATATATATATATATATATATATATATATATTCATGATTACTTTTTAAATATCTTTTTTTTTTTAGATTATTAATATTATATTATTTTTTTCTTTTTTTTTATATAAATAATATATAATATATAATATATAATATATAATATTTCATTTAATTACATATTGTATTATAAAAATTTAAATATATAAATATAATTTTTTTTTATTATATTAATATATATATATATTTTATATATTATTTTTTAATATTTATAAATTAAATATTTGTTTATTTATAAATAAAATAAAAAAAATTAATTATAAGATAAAAATAATTTTAATATAAACAAAAAATGTCTAAAAAAAGTTTATAAGATAAATTATAAGATAAAATATAAGAAATATATTAAGATTTATTAAATAATCGTAAATGTGATAATTCATTTGTTTTCTAAGACGATTTAATAAACTATGTTGTTTAATATCCTTAATATTCTCGTTTATCACCAAAAATAATATAACTAGCAGTAGAAAAATTCTACTAATAGAACATTGCTCCATAACAAACCCATAATAATAATAGAGGTTTAAATAAATAGCTTCCATATATCAATGAAAAAAAAAATGAAGAGACTGAAGAGCCAAAAATTAATAAAAAAATAAAAGAAACAAAATAATAAGAGTAAAAAGAAGAATTAAAATAAAATGAAGAAATAGATATAACAAAAGTAAAAAATAAAAATAATTAAAAACAATATATATAAAAAAAATAGATATTATCACTTCAATAATTAGGAGGAATAAATAAAATAATAGAAATATTAAAATAATAAATATATTTACCTTTATAAAATACACATATATTTAATCACTTAAATATCTCTCCTCCTAAGGGAATTCTACTTACTGGTCAACCAGGTTGTGGAAAAACTGCATTAGCATTAGCAATATGTAAAGACATAAACACAAAATATAATTACCCCTTCTATTTTCGATAAAGTACCAATATCATAGGCGGATTATCAGGAGAATCAGAAAAAAATATAAGGAATATATTCAAAATAGCAAAAGAAAATGCCCCATCTTTAATTATAATAGATGAAATTGATGCTATTGCAGGTTCAAGGGAAAAAGCCTCTAAAGAAATGGAAAAAAGAATTGTAAGTGAATTACTAAGCTGCTTAGATTAGCTCCCTAATGATGTTTTTATTATAGCTACTACTTCAAGACCAGAAAGCCTAGAAAGCGGAATTAGAAGAAGTGGAAGATTCGATTGTGAAATAATACTACCTATCCCTGACGAAAATGCCAGAATCGATATATTATAAAAAATAACAGAATTTATACCTTTAGGAAAAGAAGTATAAATAGAAAATATTGCTAAAGATACACCAGGTTATGTACCTGCTGATTTATAAGCTTTAATTTAGAAATCTGGTGTTTTTGCGGTTTAGAGGATAGTAGAAATTATATAAAATAAAAATGAAAATAATAAAGATAGTAAAATTAATAACAATAGTAAAGATAGTGAAAATAATACTAAAAATAATAATAATAATAATAATAATAATAATAATAATAATAATAATAATAATATCAATAACAATAGCAATAAAAATATTAATATTAATAACAATAGTAATAATAATAAAAGTAACGATAACAATATTAATTATCAATAGGTTTTTTCAGATTTTTTAAAAGAAAATAATATTGAGTGTGTAATTTGTCAATAGGATATCGAAAAGGCTTTAAAAGAAATTCAACCTACTGGTAAAAGAGAAGGTTTTGCTATTATACCTTCAGTTACTTGGGATGATATAGGCGCTTTAGATGATCTAAAGAAGGAATTGACAAATAATATTATCCTACCAATACTTTAGCCTTAAAAGTTCGAAGTATTTAACATAAGTAACCCTTCAGGTGTTTTAATGTATGGTCCACCAGGTTGTGGGAAAACTCTTTTAGCAAAAGCAGTAGCTAATGCTTCAAAAGCAAATTTTATTTCAGTAAAAGGCCCCGAATTATTAAATAAATATGTAGGAGAATCTGAAAAATCAGTTCGTTAAGTCTTTTCAAGAGCCAAAACATCAGCTCCTTGTATTATTTTCTTTGATGAAATAGATGCATTGGTGCCTAAAAGAGGTTCTGATAGTACTAATTAAGTTACAGAAAGGGTTGTTAATTCCCTTTTGGCTGAATTGGATGGGTTTGAAGGTAGAAAATAGGTTTTCGTGATTGCAGCTACTAATAGACCAGATATTATTGATCCAGCATTATTAAGAGGGGGAAGATTGGATAAATTATTATACGTACCATTACCTGCTAATGAGGAAAAAATACTAATTTTAGAAGCTTTATTAAAAAAAACACCAGTTGATGATAGTATATGCTTAAGAAGTATAGCTTTTGATAAAAGAACAGAAGGATTTTCAGGAGCTGATTTAGGAAGTTTGGTTAAAGAAAGTGCACTAGGAGCTATTTTAGAAGGCAAAAATGTTGTTAGTATGGATTAATTTAATAAGGCTATGGATAAGGTATTTCCATCATTATCTATAAAAGATAGAAATTTATATAGATAATTATAAAATACACTTAAATCTTCTAAAAATCATATAAAAGAAGAAATTTGATATTAAAAATATATATATATATATTATTATATATATATTTGTATGTATTAATATAAATTTATATATATTTAAATATATATGTATATATATATTTTATTAAACAATTATAATTTTATATTTATTTATGTTATATATATCAATCAAAAGATTTCCTTATACTATTATTTTTCCATCGGGGTGGTGTAGGTGGTCTTTTTTTTAATTATTCCTCATCTTCAATCCAATTATGTTAAGCTTCACTAGTAGGATAAATTAATTTAGGAATAATTTCAAAATTATTTTTTAAAATCAGAACTGCGCCTGCATTTTTATGTCTTCCACAATAGTCTGTTGCACTAAAAACTGTAATAAGTTTTCCTCCCGCAAATCTCTCAAATCCATCCATTACACATTCATGAGCTCTCAAAATCATTGATAATCCGTTATTTTATAAAAATTAATTTACCCTATCAGGCCCGTATTTTACAATATTTCCAGTACCAGCTGGATCTCTAATCACGTTTGCCTAAATTCCTAATTCTTAATCAGAATCGGTCGGGTCAGACCAAAGAATATCAACTATTAGTTAATGTTCAGGAGTATTTACTTCATGTACAACTTCTAAAGGTCTCTATAGATTCTCAATTTCTTATATGTAATGTAAAGAACCGCCTATACCTCCATGTAGGCATATAATTTTATCTTCTATAATTGTAGCTAAAGGTAAATATTCAAAAAGTCTATTTACTCTATTGAAAACAGAATCTTCATCTGAAGGATCTTCCCCTAATCTTTAATTACATTCATCACTAAAACCAAATCTAAATAAAAATTAATATATAAAAACTAGATTAATATAAATATAAATATAAATATATATTTAATAATGTATATATAAATATATAAATATAAAAATAAATATAAATATAATACATTAATATATTTATATATTTATTTACCTCTAAGTACTATAGGTTAGTTTTTTATAATTTCCTCAGCCATATCACATAATTATATTATATTTTCTGAGGAAAATCTAAAAGGTGCATTTTCGGGTAAATTTATGTAACTTTTTGGTTATAATAAATGTTGAATCATTATATTATGGATTGAGTTTGGATCATGAGATATTCCTATATTACTCATATAGTCCATGTTATTATATTATGGTAAATTTTTGATTTTATTATTTGTTTTACGGTTATCTTTTGATTCTTCAGCTATAATACTTTCCATAAATTCAAATTGTTTTCCGATTGATAGTTTTTAATTTTGATTATTTTGTTTATTTATTGGATTTTTAAACTATTTGTTATTTATTGATTATCCATATTAATTTTAGTTTTATTAAGGATAATAATTTTGGCCAAATTATTAATATTATTATTATTACAAATATTATTAATTATTATTATTATTATTATTATTATTATTATTATATATTAAACGAATTATTTATTGATATTGGGTTTATTTTATTACTAAATGAAGTTGCTAAAGTCGAATTATTTGAATAATTTAATTCTGGTGAGCTAGGTCTATAAAAAATTAATTATATTTATTTATAAATTATATAAATAATATTAATAGATATATATGTATTTTTATTTTATATTTATTTATTTTTAATGTTTTTGTTTTTTTTTACTAATTTGATATATCATTTATAACACTATTATTTGGTGAAGATTATTTTAATGTATTAATTATTTTCATTAGTAAATCTCCGTTACTAGATATACTTTTTAAGAGATTAATTTTCATTATGACATCTGTTGGTATATTCGGACTTTCTAACTCAAAACCTCCATATACATAAATAAAATTATCTACAGCCCATGATCCATGCCTAAACCTTTATATGGAATTAAATCTACTCCATTCTGAAGTTTCAGTATCATAAATTTCTAATCCTAATTATTCACCTACATTATTAGTTCTTCCTCCTATAATAAGTAATAACTTCCCCAAAAAAAGACTTGAATGTTAATATCTACCTACTGGTAGTTCTCTTTCAGATCTATAAGGTGCTTTTACCCAATCCCAACGGCCATCTCTGTGCCTTCTTAAGCCCCATGTATCATTCAAAGCCGACTAATCATTTGATCTTCCCCCAAACATTACTACCATACCGTTCGCGCTTCCCTAATTACACAAAGTGCCTGAATGATAAACTCTAACCCTCGGAGATTCGTTCTTAGGCTCTATCTTTTGCCAAGCAAATGGACTTTTTTCAACATTCAAAAACCAGCAATCATTCACAGCTTCCTAACCCGTATTTCCTCCAAAAACTACCAAAAAAGGCTTTGAATATGTTACTGTATGGCCATATCTACGACCTGGAGTTTAGCCTACTACTGGAACTACTTTCCACATACCTATATCATCCATTCCTCTTAAATCTAAAAGATATAAATCATCTGAAGCTAAGCTTCCACCTTTTATTAATATATGTATATATATATATTTGCTTTTTTTAAAGACAAAATAATACCTCCTGTAGCCCCTCCGTATACTACCATTTAATTTATTTCTAAACCGGTTGCGGCATGTGCTGCTCGGGGGGATGGTTAGTTTCCATTAGCTTTTTTTGATTTATAGTTTTTTGATTTATTGTTTTATTGTTTTTTTTACTTTCTATTTTCTTCCATATTCTTGTCTATATATCGAATGAATAGGTATCGCCAGTTATTTAAAAGCGGCCGGTGTCTCCGGTTGCTCCGCCAAATAATATTGCTTTTCCTTTTGATATGTATGTTATTGTGTGCCCGAAACGCGCTTGTGGGACATTGCCTGTATAATCAACTTTTTCCATTATTTTTTTTTTTTAGAGTTTTTGTACAAATTATACTTTTTTTATATATATAAATATTTTATGTTTAATTATATTTTAAAAAAATTGAATATACTTTTTTTTTTTTTTAATTTATTATTAATATTAAAAATGTTAGGAATTTGAAAAAAAAAAAATGATAATTAAAAATTTACATATTCATAATTAATTTTATATATTTAAAATAAATATTTTTTTTAAAATTAAATATTTAAATTTGTAATACAGTAATTGTAGAATAATAAAATATAAAAATAATTATTATAGATATATTATTAAAATATTTCAAATTTTTATAAATTAAAATCATAAATAAACAACTTTATAATATATGATATAAATAACTATAATATATAATATAAATAAAAATATATATAATATTAATATATAAATTAAAATTATTATTGTTTTATTCTTTTTTTTAATAATATATATACTAAATTTTATAATATAAATATGTTTATATTTTATAATATTAATTATATATATATTTCAAAAACATTTTAATAATAAAATTACTTAATATGATTAATATTTAAAATAAATGATATTAATTTATATTTGTAATCTTTGAAATACAAAACTAACAAACTGAATATAAATAACAATGCTTTTATTTATCTATATTATATGAATAATCTTATAGATAATATCATTGATATTCTTAATGATAATTTAATGGATAGGCTAATGGTTAATCAAAAGGTGTGAAAAAATTTAAGTAAATCGGAAAATAGAATTAAAAAATACATATGATAAGTTTATATTACATATTTAATTTATTAAAAATTTAATATGAAAATACTTAAAAATATATAAAAACTAAAAATAAATTAATTGTGAATAAAAAATTTATTTAAAATAAGATATATGAAAATTTATAAAAAAAAAAAAAAAATTCTTAAAAATAAATAAATAATTTTTATGAAAAAAATTTTTAAATACTTAATAAATATATATATATATTTATATATAAATAAAAATATTTAAAATATTAATTATTTTTTTCTAAATAATCATTTAATAATTATATTTTTCTAAATAATCATTAATTTATTAAGCATATTTTTATCATTTTTTGTTTTGTTTCTAATATTTTATCTATTTTTTTTATATATATATTTATTAAAAAATAATTATATATAATTTTTTATTAAATTACTAAATTAAATATATTATGTAAGATTAAACTTCATCGAAATAGTTTTTTTAATCTCGTTTTTCAAGTTTAATTTAAGACAATTAAAATGCAGGACATATATCAGATGATGATAGTATAGATAGTCTAATAAATAATTTATTAATAAAACAAGAAAAATTCGATCAATAGCAAAGATATTAAAATTAATAAATTGTTAAAAAGATAAACATAGACTAATCAATTTCCAAAAGAATGGTTATATAAAATATAAATCAAGATATTAATAATGAAAATATAGATATAAAATAATTGAAATTAGAATAACCTACTCAAATATTTTAAAATGATAATATTAATATAAAACAGGAAAAGCTAGAAAATACAATAACTTAGCAAAAATTTTATAATATAAATTTATCTAATTAAAATAGAATGGAAGAACTAATTTAAGCAAAAAAAAACTTAGAAATAGCCTTGAAAATAATACAAAAATGGAAGATAATTTGACTAATTGTGTAAAAAACAAGAATAATGTAATGAAACTTCTAATAGCCAATAAGATACTAGTAGTATTATTTTTAATTTACTTAAATTAAAGATGAGAGAAAATCCTAATTAAATAAATATTTTTAAACAAATTCAAACTGTTGATTTAAAAGCTGTTGAAATCGTAAGATAAAAATATTTAAATATATAAAAATGAATTGATATATGCTATATATGCTATATAAGTAATAGATTAACTATTTATGTTTATTATAGTATAAAAATTTATATTTTATATATATTTATTCATATAAATATATATATAAATATATATATATATATATTAAAAAAATAAATACATAATTTCTATTCATTTTTTAAGAATAAAAAAATATATATACATATAATTTATATTGTAATATTTTAATAAAAATTTTTAAATTTTTTTAAAATGAGTACTTTTCGTGATATTAATGAAAATGTTTTAAAATTTAAAAGGAATAATACATTTAATTTACCAAATATAGTAAATATTTTAAAAAATTAAATAAAAAAAACATTATTTAAAAGAACAAATAACAAAAATCAGATATAGCTATTTAATAATATGAAAATGATTTAAATTAAAACTAACTTTTAAAAAGGTAAATTAATAAATAATTAATATTTTTTAATTTTTAATAATATTAATAAATACAGATAAAATGATTTAGAAACTGCTTTTTAGGATTTAAAAGTTAACATTGAAAAAAGAATAATTTAATTATTCGAAGAGACTCCGAAAAATGTTAAGTATTTTTAAGAAAAAAGTATTCAATTTTAATATTAAAATGAAAAAAAATTATAAAATTTTTAAGTTTAAATTTAATAATTAAGAGAATTATTAAATAATAATAATGAAAATCATTAAAATCAATTTTTAGATTTAAATTAAAAAATAAATTCACTTTAATTAAAAGTATAATAGCCGAGTTCTAATTAATAATAAATATTGGAAATCCCAAAAAATAATAAAATTGAAGAATAAAAGTATCAAATTAATTTTTAAGAAATAAAAGAGTATATAAACTAAGAAATAAAGAATAGAAAAGTTGGATTCGATTATCTTTCTTCTAAATATTAAGAATTATAAATTAAAATGCTTGAATAAGAGAAATAATTTATTTCTTAGTTATAAAAATAAGAGTCTTTATATTTAGAAGAAAACCATTTTCAATTAGAAAAGCTTTAATAAATTGAAAAGTTATTTTTTGTTATTTAAATTATTTTAAATATTAAAAAACAAAGGAAAAAAAATGAAAAATTAATAGAAGAAAATGAATAATTGAAAGATTAAATAAATAAAATTGAAAAATTATTGCAAAAAGAAATTGAAGATAGAAATATTTTCTATAATTAATATAAAATTTAATAAAAGAAGGATATTGAGAATATAAAAAATGAATACGTAATTAAATAATAAATATAATTTATATAAAAAAACAAAGAGAACTGTAGAAAAATAAATTTTAGAAAGAGAATTTATACTTTCTTAATAATTATAACAAACGGTTCAATCTACCTAATAAATAATAAAATTTTCAAAATAAGAACAAGAAGTAAATAAATAATAAACTAAAGAATTATTAGAATAAAAAATATAAAGTAAATAAAAAAAAACATATATATATATATATAATATTTTTGAAATAAATATAAGGTTTATAATAATAAGTTATTTAATTGAATAATTAATTTGGAGAATAAAATAATAATTTAAATAAGAAAGATGAAAATTTAAAAACTAATTTCGAAACAAACATTTAATTTTAAAAAGAATTAAATGAAGCTAATATATAAAACTTTTAAAAAAATTAGGATAATATACAATCATAGATATTTAATTTAGATTAAAAATTATAATAATTATTTGAATAGAATTAATAAAAAATAAATTAAATACATTAATAAAATTTAAAATGGTAAGAATAATTTGAGGAGAAAAATTTGAGCATTTTTAAGGAAGTTTCAAATGCTATGAAAGGTATAAAGCTTGATTTAAGAAATTAAAAAAGCAAAACTTAGTAATCTATAGAATAGTTAAATGAAAAAATAAATGAATATTTAAAATAAAATATATATAATATAAATTAATAAAAATAAGACGTTTAAAATTCGATTAAAAGCCTTGAATACTATATTAAAGAAATCGATTAGAAAAATCATGAAAACATAATTTAAACATAAATTGAATTAGATAAATTAATTAAATCAAGTGATGAAAGTTGGGTATAAACTTAAAATTAAAAATTAGAAAATTGTATTAATAAATTAAATGAGGAAATTAGAGTAAATTTAGAAAAAAATTAGTTTGATAATAAAAACGAAATAAAAATAAATATAGATAATAGTTTTAAAGATAAATCGGAAAATATTAATTAATAAATCTTGGTTATGAAAAATCAGATTTAAGAAATTTATGAGTGCAAATTTGATATTTAAAGTTAGAAATTAGTTTAGTAATAAATTAAAGAAAATTCCTAAAAAATATTTTAACTTAATATTTAAATTGAAAAAGAAATTAAAAATGTTTCTTAAAAAACGTTTTAATAAGTTCTTTTGATAATAAAAGACTTTGAAAAAAATATATCTAAATAAGTATTTTTTTAGTTTTTTAGTTATTTTCTTTTTTATATATATATTTTTTTATTATTTTACAATATTAAGGTGGATATTAATTAAGATTTTTTGGAAAGATAAATGTCTGGTCTTTAAAAAAATGTTATTTAAATTAATGATAACTTAATGTAATTTAAAAATTTAGTTGATTCTTTTTTAAATAAAATATAATAATCTTCATAATAATAATTGGAAGATAAAAATAATTTAATTGAATAAATATAAAATATTTATTTGAAATTTTAATAAACACAAACTAATTTAGAAAATAATATCGAAGTAACAGTAGAAAATGCTAAAAAAATGTTGACAATAAATTTCGATAAAAAAATAGATGATACAAATCTATTAATTAAAACTTTAATAAATTAAGAAATTTAAGAAATAAACAAAAATGATTAACAAATTTTATAAAGCCTTTAGTAACTAATTATTATTTTTATAATGTATATATTTAAAAATAGTTAAAAAATAAATGAAATAGAAGATTGTTTTAATTTGTAAAATAACCAATCTTATATAAAGGATTAATTTGACAAAATAAAAGAGTCTTACCATTAATAAACTTTCTAAAAAATCGAAAATGAGCTTTATTATATTAAATAAAATCGAGAAAACGATTTATTATTAATTTATAAAGAAATAGACAATAGATAAAATGAGTAAAATAAAATAAAAATATAAAATAAAAATATTT